CCCCCTCGCCTGCTGCCCACGCTGCTTTGGGTGCAGCCCAGGACACAGTTGGCTTTCTGGGCTGCCAGTGCACAGTGCCAGCTCATGGTCAGCTTCTCATCCACCAGCATTTCAACTGGTATTATCCCATGTTAAAAAAATAAACGTGAGCAATAAAGACCTGCCAGAGCTGAGAGGCAGCCCGGGATGTTGCCGTTCCAAGGGTCAGACTGCAACGCAGAATTACGTACCTACCTGAGAGCCAGCGAGCACAAGAGCCAACTCAACTCTGGGAATTAAAAATCCCACTCGGAGACGTGCGTCACGCTACGGGTTCCACAGCCCTGCTCCGCTGACGCGGTTAAACGAATGGCTCTGCGATTGTTCTCTTCGATTCCTCCCTTCCCCCAAGCAGATGCAGCGTGTGACGCCTCTGAGGTGGTGGCCAGAGCACTGGCGCAGCCACCATCATTCAGCACAGGCCAGGGAAAACAAGAGCCCAGTGTCAGAGCACTTGCAACCTGTCGTGGGCGAAGTCACAAGGCGAGCTCTCCATTGAATTCCAGCAGCAGCAGAGAGATGCCCAAGGGATCCTGAAGCTACAGCTGGACAGCCATGAAAGGGCGATTCTGCTGGTGAGAACCATCTCAGTTGCACACAGAGCACTCAGAAGGGGGACAGGATTTGAAAACCAGGATTTTCTTTGATCCCCCCTCGCACACACACTCCCCGAATCACCTGCTTTTACTCACACCTTGAAGGGAATAAAATCTATTTTCTCTACCGACAGTCCCCAGGAGTTACCATAAACACACAATGCCACCTACTGACAGTTAGAAACAGCAGCCGAGCTCTCCTGTCAATCCAGAGCAACTCAGATTTTCCATTCAGGAATTTCCTCTCCATTTCCTTCTATTTATCAACGGTTCTGAGGGCTGAATGCCAGTCTTCTAAATATTTGCTTCTAGTTAGTATCTTTTCACCTGCTTTCACTTTCCAAGGGTTATTCTTTCTGCTTCTGCAACAGGATGAAATTTCTTCCAAATTTTCTGAACTCTTTCAGCGCTCTAATTTGACAAAGAGCAGCTAATCCCTCCCAGTTATGAGAATGGGAGCCATTACTTAAGCCTTCTGTAGTCCCAGGTGATCACAGAATATCTCTTCACAAATTCACGTACAACACAGCGTAAACAAGCTTAAAATTCAGAAACTTTAATGACAGATTAATGCTTTTCATACCCTGAAGAACCAATCCCTGAGTCCGTTGGTGTAAATTCAAGAAACACAAACACCTCTGCAAGAGGCAGCACCGTCGTTGAAGCAGGCTCTGGGCCAGAGGGAGGGAACTGGAGACCGAGAGAGTCCTTCCAGCTTTTTGCAGCGCTATTCCCACCCTCCCTCTGCTTTGTCTATTGGCGACGCACCGAAACACTCTTCTGGTATGTGAAAAGTGTTTGTAAGAATGAGGCCAAGGGAACTACCACCCCCATTATGGGACCCTCATGCATAAGCAAGATACGAGTAACAGTGGAGTAGGATTCATTGAGGAAGTGGATGTAATACTCAGTTTTGCTGGACGGAAGTCAGTCATTCCATATTTCTTTATTCTGAGCAGGTCACTGGGGAGAAGCGTCCGTACTTGCATACAGCTGCAAGGATCATACTGGAACAGAGCGCCGTGACAAGGAGAGTCAGGACACACACTAAGGAACGGTGTTGCCTGAGGCCCACTGGAACCTGCAGAATCAATTCCTCATATGCCTGCAAAGAAAAACAAACCGATTACGTGCATTTAACAAGCTATTTCCCCGAGACGGGACGTCACCAGCAAACGGAGCACCGGCTGCTCTTCCAGTACAAAGCTCAATAAATTCATCTGCCACCATTTTAAACGGCAGCCGTTTGCATCCTCTGTGTCTTTGCTCCTATGATACGCTTGCCATTGAGGATACGTATGTAGCACAGCACGGAAGAGAGAAGCTCTCGGAGTGAGCATTCCACAGATCACTGAGAAGTCAGTTTTTTCCAAGGAGAACAATTAATCGGTTTCTCTGTGACACAGAAAGCTCCAGAACGATTTTGGATAAGAGCTGCAGATATCCCAGACGATGAAGGAAGAGACACACGTTACAAACCCAAGAGGTTCATAACGAGAAAAATTAGTCTTATTTCTGAATCTCTACACTACCAACCCTCTTGAGGGTCAAAGGCAGTTGTTGACCACACTAAAGATCCAACTTTCCTTGGTTTTGAACCCAGAATGAAAAAACTTCACCTTTCCCTAAATACTCAGCCCATCGGATAACAATCAACCAAATAGAAGTGGCCTTTTTTTTTTTTTTTTTTAAAGATGTTATTCCTTCAATCTTCAGAGTTTTACCCCTCCTTTAGTTAGGTCATAGCTTCCCACTTTGCTACTCCTCTGAAGCACCTATTTTGCAAAGACCTTTCTCAATTTGACCACTGCCAATTATATCCTAGAATTCCAAGGAAACTATTAAAAAAAGGTGAGGAGACCAGCCTCATAAAGGACGAGCAGAGGGTGACTACAAGCACGTCAGAGGGGCAGCCCATTAAAAGCCGGCTGGAAAGGACACGGGGAGCCTCCCTAGGAGGGAACCACCCAATTAGTCTCTTACTGATAAGTTCCTGTGCTATGAAAATTGCTAATCACAGAAAAAAAACATTAAACGAGAACCAAAATTCCCACCAGAAGTAAGAACTCACCGGTTGGTGCGTTACGCCATACCACTGACAGGGACCACCGGATTTGCCGGAACAGGGAGCTTCCACTTCAGCAGGCTCCCAGCACTCTGCTGAGAGGGGATCTATGGAAGACGTTAACACGTCAGCAGGACCCAGACAGGATGAAACAACACGGCCTGCAAGACCTTCCCAAACGAGGTATCCTTCCTCCACAACAGAACCTCCAACCCAAACCATTCCATGATTCTATGATCTCCAGAAGACAATTTACAGAACCAGATTCCAAGCTCTGGATTACCCACAGTTATTCCTCTCTCCCCAAAAGAAAAATCAGCGAGAATCTCACTGTCACAGCAGCAGACCAGCACTTCTGGGCTCTTCAGAACAACCACCGCTTCCTTGCTGTCCTCCGCCGGCCGGTGGTACCGCCCGTGCACGGGCAGGGCAGCTCGGAAACAGCTAGAGCACCGAGGGTCGGGCTCCATGGACAGGAGAACAAGAAGACCTGTGGCTAAGTACTCAGGAGCCTCCACATCGACGACATCGGGAATTAACACCGCCTGCAAGTGGAGAAAGATATCAGTCAGAATCATGGCATCGTCTGGTTGGAAGAGACCCTCAAGATCATTGAGTCCAACCGTTCACCCTGCACTGGCAGGGTCCCTGAACCATATTCCTCAACACCAAATCCACACGGTTTTTCAACACCTCCAGGGATGGGGACTCCACCACCTCCCTGGGCAGCCTGTTCCAATACTTCACAACCCTCTCTGGAAAGAAATTTTTCCTGAGATCCAACCTAAATTTCCCCTGGCGTAACTTGAGGCCATTCCCTCTCGTCCTGTCATTCATAACATGGGAGAAGAGACCGACCCCCCATCTCCCTACAACTTCCTTTCAGGTAATTGTAGAGAGTGATAAGGTCCCCCCTGAGCCTCCTCTTCTCCAGACTAAACAGTCCCAGCTCCCTCAGCCGCTCCTCATGGGACAAGTTCTCTAAACCCTTCACTAGTTT